GCTCGAAAAAGATGTCCGATACCTGGATTCCCGAATAGCCTTACTGATCCAAAATCGTATGGCACTGGAGGAGGTAAGAAACCCCCCCACAAACCACCCCCCCCCCCCCGGGGGACGATCGGCGCAACAATCGCTCACAACTAGTTCTAGCAAAACGAAGTCGCCAGTCACCTCGACGATGCGATCGATCCGCAGGAGGGCTTCTTCCCGAACGACGAGAAAACGCAGAAATATGGCAACCTACTTTTCCTTCTCCAGTCCGAGCCGCGTCACATTGCCCATCTCTGTCGATTGGTTTCCATGTCCGAGATCGACTCCCTTCTCCAGACCGTCATGTTCACCATCTACGGAAACCAGTATGAGAGCCGTGAAGAGCATTTGCTTCTGACCATGTTCCAGTCCGTCCTCACCTATCAGTTCGACAACACTCCGGAGTACTCGTCGCTTCTGCGCCAGAACACCCCTGTGTCCCGCATGATGACAACTTATACCCGCCGTGGACCCGGTCAGAGCTATTTGAAACAGGTCCTTGCCGACCAGATCAATTCTATAATCGAGCTGCGAGATGTCGATCTGGAGATCAACCCCTTGAAGGTATACGAGAACATGGTGAAGCAGATTGAGGAAGAAACGGGCACTCTGCCGGACTACTTAGCTCGGTCCGTCACGGCCGAAGCAGCTGCGGAAAATGAGCAGGTTCAAGCGATCATCGCGCCGCGCCTAAAGATGCTGACGGACATTGCCAACGGATTCCTGACCACGATCATCACCTCGGTCGACGAGGCTCCTTACGGGATCCGATGGATTTGCAAGCAGATTCGGAGCTTGTCTCGACGCAAGTACCCGGACGCTCAAGACCAGACAATCTGTACCCTGATCGGAGGTTTCTTCTTCCTGCGATTTATCAACCCCGCTATCGTCACCCCGCGCTCGTACATGTTGATTGATGCGATCCCCACTGATAAACCTCGCCGCACGTTGACCTTGATCGCCAAGATGTTGCAGAATCTGGCGAACAAGCCATCTTATGCCAAGGAGCCTTATATGGCGAAACTTCAGCCCTTCATCCAGCAGAACAAGGAGCGTGTCAACAAGTTCTTGCTGGATCTGTGCGAGGTCCAGGATTTCTACGAGAGCTTGGAGATGGACAACTACGTGGCGCTCTCGAAGCGGGATTTGGAGCTGCAGATCACTCTCAACGAGGTTTATGCGACTCACTCCCTGCTTGAGAAGCATAGCATCGCTCTAGCCCAGGATCAGCACTCGCATCTGCACGAACTCTTGCAGGAACTTGGCTCCGCGCCCCCGCAGGTGCCCCGGAAGGAAAATCGTACTATTACGATCCCCCTGTTTAGCCGATGGGAAACGGCCCTCGATGACCTGACCTCCGCTCTAGACATTACGCAGGAGGAGGTGTTCTTCATGGAGGCCAAGTCAACCTTCGTGCAGATTCTAAGATCCCTGCCTCCGAACTCCTCGGTCGCCCGTCGACCTCTGCGCCTCGATCGTATTGCAGAGGCCGCGGCGACCTTGAAGAACGATGCGGTTATGGTGCGCAAGGGCATCCGTACCATGGAGCTGCTGAGTCAACTTCAAGAAATGGGAATCATCGACCGATCGGATGAGTTTAGTCTCCTCCGTGACGAGGTGGAGCAGGAATTGGTGCACCTGGGTTCCTTGAAGGAGAAGGTCCTGGACGAGACGAAGAAATTGGACGAAGTCTTTGCTACGATCCGCGACCACAACGCCTACTTGGTGGGTCAGCTGGAGACGTACAAATCCTACCTGCACAATGTCCGCAGCCAGTCGGAGGGTAAGCAGAGAAAGCAGCAGAAGCACCAGGAACTGGGCCCCTATAAATTTACCCACCAGCAACTCGAGAAAGAAGGGGTGATCCGCAGGAGTAATGTTCCGGAAAACCGACGCGCCAACATTTACTTCATGTTCAAGAGCCCTCTGCCGGGCACGTTCGTCATCAGTCTACATTACAAAGGTAAGTTCACACATTGGCTTGTTTCGCAGTCCCCCTGGTTCACCGTATACTAACAGGGAGAATAGGACGGGCCCGCGGCCTCCTGGAGTTGGATCTCAAGCTTGACGATCTGCTGGAGATGCAAAAGGACAGCCTCGAAGACTTGGATCTGGAATACGTCCAGTTCAACGTGTCCAAAGTGCTCATGCTATTGAACAAACGATTTGCACGAAAGAAGGGCTGGTAAGAGACTCTTGCAGGGATCTCTGCTCCTCTCCCTTTACGATATATGAAACAAGGCAAATGCCTAACATGAGTAGATTGCCTGGGTTTCCAGAGCCGAAATCGCTGCCATCGAGGTACTAAATGACGACATACGAATTGCGCCTCAAGCATAGCCTCGACACGGCAACGGAAGTGCCGACTTGTTTGATTGATCTGTTTTATTAACATTATTATATTACGACTTGGAGGTGGGGTGGACGGTATAATCCTTTTCACTTGAAGTTTCATTGCTCTTTGATTCCTTGCTTTTTTTTTTCTCTTTTCCCCTGAGATTCGTGGATGGAGGAATAACTGCATTACTCACCATGATTCTTGTTTTGATTCCCTCATCGGCACGTGTGACTTTAGGAGGATGTTTATTCTGGTGAGAAAGTGAGCACCTTAATTCTGAGGGTGGACCAAACCGGTTGCCTCGCAGGTCGAGGACGGGTCTGGTCTCCATGGCCAGGGATTGGGCGGTTTTGCTTGTTGGTATACCCCGTTGAAATGATTTTGTGTTGTGTACGATTGCTCTTGCGTGTTTTTTTTTTTTTTTTTTTTTTTCTTTCTTGTGGTTTGGTCGGTTTGTGCCGTTCGCGTGTTATATCCACTGTTGTTTATATTGTCCTATAGGAATTGGATATAATGAGGATGCTTCGAATTCAAAATTCTTGTGGCATTAGCCCAAGCGTTGCCTGAATACTCCCATGAAGGTTCACTCACCGTAAACTCCGTGTTCTGTCTCGCTGGCGAGAGAATAGCCAGCCACTGCCCTTTAAACCATTTCACCTCCTCGTCAGGAGTAGAAATAAAAACGACCTAAGCCAACTCAGTTAGCCATTCGACTTTCATAGTCGGCGATCAAGGAAGATCAATCAATAGTCAACTCCATGACAGCTGCCAGGCACTGTCTGGGTTATAAATACCGTCCGATGGATCCTTTCACCTGACTGAGGCTTGATCCAGCTTGATGAGCTAGGGTTCCATGTTTTACTGTAAATTAATCTAAGGACTCCATCAAGGCGTTTTCGCCACCATCTAATCATTTCGCCGTTAGTCTTGGGATTCCAGATTCGGGCATGAAACTGTAGTCCGTCAAACCAAACCCCGAATATGTTATGTATGCATCGTGTATTTTTCTCCAACGGCGGCGGATAGATAGTTACTCCTTTAGTTGTGAGGAATTGTGCATCTACATTGGTATCGCATTGCATCACATCGATATATGTGCGGTGTATCTATCTGTATCCACCATTAACGCTCTCGCATTCAGGGGTAAAACCCGGGCAACAATATTACTGATGAGTTATGACCTATATTAAACATATCCCATCATGGCGCGTCCCCTTGCTTCGAGAACACCCCACAACAGTTGACTTACACCTCGCTGCCTACTTTCAGGGCGACATCCTCACCCCCTATTCATTCTATTTTTCTTTGTGCTTCTTCCACCAGAAACGACTGCATAACGTCTTCAGAGATTTGCTCTGCTTGGCAGGATGGGACTCTCATTTCTCGAGACTCCATAACTAACTTCTCCGTAGTACAGACTAGCTAGTATCTCTGTTATATGATTATAAATATACGGGTACGAACTTCATACATAGGTACTCGACTTCCGTCGATGCCTAACGGGGTCGCCGGCCGCCTTAATCTAGAAGACCTGATGTGGCTGAGTTTAGGGGGCAAGTGGGCTTGGGCTGGGAAATTGGGAGAACTACGGAGTTCGAAGGTATACGGAAGGTTCTATTTGATTTTCATGTGGGTTCTTTGGCATTTGGTGTAGATTACCTAGTGGCCGCTATCGAGGTTGATTGAGGCGTGACGGTCCTTTGCCCTAAGGAGGGGCTTTGTTCGGTGCGGGTTCTAGAAGAAGACGCATCTGGGTAATTATGGGTTTCAGTTGGGGTGTGGCAAATCGAGGGACGTACGGTGTAGATAGACTGCTTCTAATTAGCTTTCTGTGCAGGATGGGAGGTTTCTGATCTATGAGGCTGCGGACGTGGCTGTTCAACTAGGTACTGTGTACTCGGTACAGCGTCAACGTTGCGAGGACTACGTCATCTCATCGTCGATCGCGGCGCTCCTGTTTGGACTTGAGCGTTGCGTCTGGGTTCACTGACGGAGAAAAGCCCAGTTAGGTAGATATCCAGAATTGGACAGATTGATATATCGATACAGATCGGTAGCTGGCGGTGGAGAGTCGATTCGATGTGACGACTATTCGGTATCCTGTTTAGGAAGTACTGTAGTAATTTCCTCCTGACAAGAGCGATGGATCTTCATAGTCACTGACAATAATATAACACAAGAGAACTACTGAATACTGAATACTCGACAGAACCGCGACGGCGACTCCTTACGACTCCAGCCCCTCCCCGTGACTCCACCCTGCACGTTGACCGTCTGTTCTGCTCTTTCGCCTCCTGCATCTTCCTTTCCCCTCTTCGCTTCGTCCGTTTTATTTGATTTTTTATTTTTCTTTCTCTCTCGCCTCTCCTCTTCCTCTTTTTCCCTTTCCACCCAGTCTCTCCACCTGTTATTTGTGTGATTGCGTTTTAAAACCCCCCCCCCACCCAGCACTCGTCTCCCTATCAGTCTCATCTTCTCACGCTAAGCCAATCCGACCACGGGTAACTAACTTAACGTCTTCTGCCTCTCTTCCGCCTTAAGGTTCCTCTCCCTCCTCACAACAAACCACCCTCTCTCCTCTCCTCTCCTCTCTTTCCTTCCACACCTCCCCATTTCACCCCCAACTTTCACAATGGCCGCCCCCGTTGAGAACCAGAACCCCCCTGCGTCAAAGTATGACGATTATGACTTCCCGACAACGGCGCCGGAGTCTAAGAGCGGCCACCCTGGCCATACCACCCCCGAGCAGGACGCCAAGGTCGAACAGCTCCGGAGTGAGCTGGAGAAGGAGGGCTACACCAAGCGTCTAGATACCCTCACCTTGCTGCGTTTCCTCAGAGCCCGCAAGTTCGATGTGGCCGCCGCGAAGACCATGTACGTTTAGAGCCTGCAGACCGCCCCTCTCCTCCACCAAAAAAGATCCCCCCGCTGACGAGAGCCTTCCTGATCTGTAGGTTCGTGGACTCTGAGAAGTGGCGCAAGGAGTTCGGCACCGACGACCTCGCTCGTACTTTCGACTACAAGGAGAAGCCCGAGGTGTTCAAGTACTACCCCCAGTACTACCACAAAACCGACAAGGTGCGTTGCGTCCTCCGGTTCCCCTTCCGACTTCCAGTGAACCTCGATCCGGTTGCTAACGTTTTATCCGGCGAAATAGGATGGAAGACCCGTCTACATCGAAAAGATGGGCAAGATTGACCTGAACGCCATGTACAAGATCACCACCTCCGAGCGCATGCTGCAGAACCTCGTCACCGAGTACGAGAAGCTCGCCGACCCCCGCCTGCCCGCCTGCTCGCGGAAGTCCGGCAAGCTGCTGGAGACCTGCTGCACCATCATGGACCTGAAGGGTGTTGGAATCACGAGCATCCCCTCCGTCTACGGATACGTTCGCCAGGCGTCCGGTATCTCGCAGAACTACTACCCCGAGCGACTGGGCAAGTTCTACCTGATCAACGCCCCCTGGGGGTTCAGCGGCGCGTTCAACGTGGTCAAGGGCTTCCTGGACCCCGTCACCGTCGACAAGATCCACATCCTCGGCTCCGACTACAAGAAGAAGCTCTTGGAGCAGGTCCCCGCCGAGAATCTGCCCGTCGAGTTCGGCGGTAGCTGCCAGTGCGCCGGTGGCTGCGAGATGAGCGACATGGGTCCCTGGCAAGAGGCGGAATGGGCCAAGACCCCCAAGTGGGCTGTGCCCCAGGAGGACTCGAACGTGGTCAAGAACGAGGATGCCGGTATTGAGCAGAAGACCGAGGCTCATCCCGAAGGCTCCCAACCCAGCGCATAAATTATCCTTCCTACTTTATTGACTCGTTGATTTGTGTCCCCCCCTCTATCTCTTTTGTTTTTGGGACCAATATGGTATAAAAAGATTCTAGGCGCTATTCTTTTCCCTCTATCCGCCTCCCCCTCTTTACTTCTCTCCCTCTTTACTTCTCTCCCTCTTTACTTCTCTCCCTCTTTACTTCTCTCCCTCTTTACTTCTCTCCCTCTCTACGCATCATGTTCAGAACATGCTCTATATCCGTTTAGACTCCCCCTTTATTTCGTGCCTTTGGATCTCTACTGTTTGGTTCCTTCTTTACCTTTCAATTCAATAATTGAATATTGCCTTTGATGACGAGTGGCGGGTGACAACAAGCTAGCTCCCATTACCCATCTCTTTTGAGTTTCTGTTGTCTTGAGGTTTTGCTGCTTGGGTTCTCTTTTGACATTAGATATTAAAGTTTCACAAGATAACATGAGCGGCGCGGTGGTGCTTATCATTTTTTATATTATAGATGGGGAGCTGAGGAGATGAGAGTAATGGCGAGAAAAGGGGTTTGTTGTTTCTTCTAAGAAAAATGTGGAAGTGTGATTGTTCGCTTGTTACTACTGGGTTGTTGATGGAGGATGCCGAGTTGGTTGGTGTTCGGAGAGATGGTTGTTCAATATGATATTGATATATAGCTGGTTGAGATAAACATGTTACTTTCGAGCGAGGTCTAGGTATTCAGTGGATTCGTTACGTTGTGGGGTTCTTCACACCCTTTCTAAGCATGTGCTACAAACATTCAAAAGCAAATGAGATTCAATTCATCAGTCAATTAATCAATCGAAATTGGTATCATTCCATCCATGCCTGACGCCAGCATACTAAAAACAAAAAAACATAAATATAGACAAAGAACCGACAGAAAATCACACCTTCTTCTCCACCACCTCCACGGCCTGTCTCGCTCGTTCGGTTTTCCCAACCGTCGACGCCAACGCATACCCGTCCGACGTCGAGCCCTCGGCCGCGGCATCATCGTTGCCTTCGCCTTGGAGTCGCAGCAGAGTCCGCAGCGCGTCCTCATAAACCTCGGCCACGTCACCGGTACGCCAACGTTCGGCCTCGTGGTCTGTTCCCAGCGGCACCTTGAGATCCCATTCGGCCTTGCGGGCTTTCGACTTCCGGCGTGAAGGCCCGTCGTCGCTGGACCTGTCCTCGCGACTTCGTTTCTTGGATTGTGATTGTGCTTGTGATTGCGATTGCGGCTGTGACTGTGTCTGGTCCTGGGGTTGTTGATCCGCATTTGCATCCGCATCTGGCATCGCGACGTCCGCACCTTCACCATCCCCTGTAGTCGGGCCATCGGTCTCCTTCTCCGTCTTCTTCTCCCCCTGCTCATCCGTCTCCATCGCCGTCTCTGTATTCGTCGTCTCAGCGACCCCATCAACGCCCTCTCCCTGCCCATCTTCACCCTCAATACCCTCACCCTCAACATCCTCATTCTCATCCTCCTCATCCTCCTCAATCGCCCTCCTCAGTTGCTCCGCATACGCCTTCGCCGCCTTCCTCGGCGCATCGCGTCTCGCCTGCGCCACCGTCGTCGTCAAAGACTCCAACTGCGCATACAGCGACGTCAGGCGCGCCGCAAGATGCGTGTCGTAGGGTTCATATTCGATCGTTTCCGTGGGCGCCGTGAACGACGCCGGAAAAGGGAATTGTTCGGAGGAGGAATCGAGCCCGTTGATGCTGATTGAGGAGGATGCGGTGGTGAAGGTTTTGGTGATGTACTATTTTCCCCGCCCCAGGTATCTTGTTAGTTACTTTGGAATTGGAGTTGGAATTGGAGTTGGTAGAGGGGAGGGGATAAGAGCGGGGAATGAGAGAAGGGAAGGGAGTCGAACCTGATCGACTAATTCGCGAACCCGCTCGCGCATCGGATCCGGTGCATCGCTCGTATTGGCAGATGGGGGAAGATGAAGATCTAGTTTCTGTCGGGACAGCGCGACGGTGTTGGCGTAGAGGTAGGTGAAGTCCGCGGGGGACTGGAGTTCGATTTTGCGGTGCATCGACATGGTGGTTGTTTATTTTGTTGGACGGATTGGATGGGCACCACGGGGATAAGGGTGGGAGTATTCTGTCCCCTCTCTTTCCTGCTAGAACAATGGGGTCGCGTCAATTGAGAGGGGAGAGTTATTCAGGCAGGAAGGAAATAAGGGAAGGGAAGTGGAGACGCGTCGGAGGTCCGCGATAACAGACTCTCTCCAGGACAGGCCAGATGCGGCAGGCGGATGGGAGTCCTGCCTGATTTGTCAGGCGGTAAGGCAGTGAGGCACTACAGGAGGCAGAGGACGAAAACGGCAGCCTCAGGCCGGATGTCGATCGTTGCCCTCATCAGCCCCGCCAACGATGTCATTGATCGATCGATCCTTTTCCTTTTTTTTCCCCTCCTTTCTTTTCTGGTCTTCAGCTTGAAACTCTAATTAAGCCAGTCCACTTAGTTTCGGAGTTGCCTTGCCCTCTCGTTTCTCTCCTGATTCGATTTGAATTTTAAGATTTTATGACCTCATGGCTCATGGCTCATGGCTCGGGGGGGGTTTTATTTTAACAATTTAACGTGTCGTTCGCCCGGCGGCTTTCTTACACAATACTAGTGACAATACTCTTCTTTCCAGCTGTTCTCGATTTCATTCGCCCTTGTTTCATCTTATATTAAGCTCATTCTCCCTTACCTTACCCCGTACTAGTCGAGCTTAGCTACCCGACGAACGCTACGGCAATCTCGCCCCCTCTTCCCTTTCCCATCCCCTTTCCTGGATTATTCACGAGGATGGCCTTGGTGTACAGATAGGGGTGCTGCGATCGGATTGGGTAGGATTGAATTGGACTCGAAAAAGCGGTGTATACGTGTACGTGTGTGCGTTGCGCTCCAGTATATCAACTTTACGACAGTGGAATGATCAGCTACGGATTACAACCATGGAGAATAACAACCCTGCCAGCATTCGGCTGGTAGATAATACCTGTTCGCGCGACGAATCTCCCTCCCAGGCTCCCCTCGCTACGGAGTTATCTCGAGGTCTATCGCGACGGCTGACGAGGCCGTCCGTACGAGGGGAACTGGCCAGACGGAAGTATGCGAAGTGGCAGCCACATCGACTGGGGATCACGGATGACGGGGAACCAGATACGGAGAGGAGGCCCTCTGATGGCAGGGAGTTGTCGTTGACGGATACAGCGACGAATACGCTGGGAGGGGCGCCGAGTCTCGCGACTACCTACTCTCTTCCGACGAACGAACAGCTCGATTCCAATCCGACCGATTTCGCCCCGTCTACGACCGCTACTGGAGAGCCGGCCGGGAATGGAAGTGATGGCCCTGAGGGGGCCGGGTCGGGGTCAGGGTCGGGGTCTAGGTCCGGATCGAGGGTTGAGGCTGGGTCGGGGTCAGGCCTCAGGTCACATCCGGTTGGACTCAAACCCGGCACCGATCTGGATATTCTCTACGAGAACCAGCGGGGGTGGTTCCTGTGCGGGATACCGCTATACTCGCACCACTCGCTGCTAAACTTCGACCCGGCCACCTGGGTGACGTACGATTTTCGAGACAGCCCTGTGGACATCACCAATGCGCAGCTACCGGATCCTAGCTGGGAGTGGGCGTGGCGAAGATGGTACGTGGATATGTCGGGGGACGTGGACGACCAGGGGTGGCAGTACTCGTCCTCGTTCAGTTCGTCGGCCTGGCATGGATCTCATCCGTGGTTTCATTCGTTTGTGCGAAGACGCCGGTGGGTGAGACTGCGGGTGAAGCGGGTGTCAGAGAGGAGTCGTCGTGAGCGAACAGGGTTGGAAATGGCCCATATGCTCAACGACGATTATTTCACCATCCACACGGGGAAGAAAACGAAGAGGGCGTCCAGCTCGGAGCGCGCGTCGGGCGCCACCTCGGGGTACCTGAGTCGAGCGACCACCAAGGTCGAGGAGGCTCCTTTGGAGGAGATTGGAAATATTCCCAGTTTGATGCATGCCTTGAAGACGGCGATCGTGGACCGCGAGAAGATCGACGCGTTGAGACGATTTGTCGAGGAAGGCGGTCCTGAGTTGTATTATTTGGAAGGACAGGTATGTTCTGTTTTGATATCAAGGCTTCGGGTTCATTCATCCGTAGCTCCGCTACCGATTGATCGATGCTGACTCGCTCTGCTCAGATCCCCGAGATCATGCCCATGTTCGTCTTCCAGGCCTCGCGATGGCAGGTCCTCACACACTTGGTCGGCATCGTCGACGAGCTGTCCCAGAAGATACCCAATGTCGGGGAACGAGAAGCCGAGGAACTCCGCCACCAGAAGGAGTACCTCAGCAAGGCGGCAGACAGTGCACGACATCACCTCCGAGGACCCGAAGTCGTCAGTGCTCGACGCCGATCATCGGCGCCAGAGATGCTGGATTTGACGCCCGGACCGAAGAAGAAAGGCCTACTGTCTAGGTATTTAGGGAAGTTTTCGTTCAAACCCATGGATGATGGAGGACCTATTAAAGGCATACCAAAGGAAGCAGAAATTGGCAAGGAGGGTCATATTTATCAATATTCGTCTTGATTCGTTTTGGTGTTGAGAAGCTCTCTCTTTTTGTGTTACGTTCTAGCTCGGTTCTCGGGACTTGATACCCATGTTCGTTTGTGTCCAGTGACAATTTTAAGGAGGCATTGGAATATTTATCCATTGATAGCCAATTTAATAGATAATGCAATAATAAATCTTTTCCAATCGCATTATCGTAGGGAAGTATGTATGTTGACAAAGAGAAGTAACTCCCGGGCTGGCAGCATCCAACCCTCCGACCGCCTGCCTCTTTGGGCATGACGCAACAATTTTCTCCGTCGCTGAAGAACTGACGACGGCGGACAAAACAGCGTGCTTACCACGTCTCGCGCCGAACCTCCAATCCAATCTTCCTTTCCTCCCCTCTTACATCCTCCCTCTTATGTCTTGACATAGTTCTCGACATTCACCTATGCTCTCCCATGGCAGGACCTGCCTAAAAGGGCGTCGTGTCTCTACCCTCTTGGACAACATCGCTGCTGGCCCCGACGAACCGCTTCTCTTCCTCTACCCGCGCTGGTACAAGTCGACAGTTCGACATTACCGGTCCCTTACTTCTAGACCTTCTGCTTCTGCGAGGAACACGCGCGCCCGAGAACTCATCCCCAGAGGTTCTCCTCGTTCACACCGAAAACTGTCACCCGGGCACATCTTCAGACGATGGAATTCGAGTAGCAATCCTCCTAGAGATCCCGACGGGGAGGAAACAGCAGAAGCTTCACGCACGCCAAATGAAGCTCTCACGACCACGACTACCCCGAACAATGTCTCGCCGGAAAATCCAGAGGACCTCATCAAAAATGTATGGACCGATGATGAGGGAATTCTAATGGTCAGTCCCTCACCGATCGGGAAGCCAAAAAACTCCGAGCCATTAATTGGGCCAACGAAACCTCCGTTCAACCCCTTGGATCGTTCTGAACTGGACCCTGAACTATGGCCAGAACCAGAGCCAGAGCCAGATGACTCGCAACCATTGAAGACGAAACAGCCTGAGGGTCGGAGGGTCCTGTTTACCGGCAGCAGCCTCTTTCGGCTTACGTCTCGAGATCAGAAAAAGTTGAAACTCCAACGGAATCGCCTACAACAACATCCGGATGAAAAACAGATTCCATGGGATGTCATAAAGGATACGCTGATTCGATTGCAAGAGCAGTCTGCCACTTGGCCGAAAAAGGATTCAAGTTATTTAAAACATAAGGAGTTGTCGATACGGGAGGAGACCGTCGGGCTTCTCGCAGGGGTTACCAATTATGGGATGAGGGAGAACATCTGGTACATACCCATACATCATGGCTGCAAGATCCATTTGTTGCATCCACGCGATGGCGATGGCCGGAATCGGAGGGTCATAATCTCGGGGTCAGATCGTGCAGTCGAATTGGTCAGCGACCGTTTTATACTTGCACAGAGTCTCCAGGAAAAGGCAGACCCCATGATCGATCTCCAGAGACCCCCGGTGCCTATTATTTCTTCCAGACATCAACTCATATCCAAGGGTATCAAGCCTCCAGTCATTCGAGGCACTTGGGATATACAGCTCTCGACGCCGGGAGTGATAGACACCATCAAGCCTTTGGCGGAAAATCTGTCGACCGTGCGGGAGTTCGCGGAATACGTTGAGGAGCTGACAATTTCTAAGCCCCCTCCTGAATCAATTGGAGAGAAAATGCCGCACCGAAAAAAGATAGCTGATGCGCTGGTGGCGGTTTTTCAGGTTGATGCATACGAGAAACTGTTTTCCTCGGCTGCGTTGAATGAAGCGCTCTCTTGGATGTGTGAATATAAATGCTTGCGGCATGTCTACCCAGTTCTCCGCCGAGCCCAACATGTTGCAACGGTGGACACCATAAATATCCTTCTGGGAACGGCGGCCTCGCGGCAGGACCCGAACACGTATCACCGGCTTCTCAAGGCCATGTTAAGGGCGAAAATCCGACCGAATGAGCAAACCTGGATCACGTTCCTCGACCACGTCGCCTTACCCAAAGAGAGGGAACAACTTTCGAACTGGCTGGTGCGACAGGGGCGTATTGCAGGGATTGATTCGAGGCGGGCGGCCCTTCGGTTGACACTCAACGAAAGGTTTCTCTCGCATCTCGAGAGAAAACGTAGCGTGGACTCGTTTGTCCACAAGGTCAACACGCTGACGGACAATTGGTTTTCGGCGAAATCGATCGGCCAGATGTTTAGCGTCATTTCCCATCGGATGGATTATGAGTCTTTGGACCGGATGCTGGAAATCTGCCGGGAGCAGAACTTTGATGTTGACAGCTTTGCTATCCTGCGTGTCATGAAAATGTTCGGGGATGACACATTCCTCGCCCTCCGGTATCTATACCGATGCCACCTGTACCCTGAGCGGGTGTTCGAAGATATTATGTGGGAGAAACTCTTTGTGATGGCCTGTAATGATCACCGTTACAATATCGCTCGCGTGGTGTGGCGATACGCCTGCATGTATCAGGGCGTGACGACGAGAATGAAAAAGGCTGCCAATGTGGCACTGATCACCAGGCTCAAAAAACCCAGGAATAGTGAATATGTTAATGCCTGGATCACCACTGCCGGGAGGGTTATTGTCGGGTTGGACCTGCATCTTCCGAAGTACATCGAGAAGAGCAAGGTCATGGAATACGCCCCGTCTGAGTACCATTCGAATCTGATCGCCTACCTCATACCCATGAAGCTGACCGGCAAAGAACGTATACGGCAAGTAAAGTTCGCCAAGCTACTGCTACATCGCGATATCCGTGTCGGCCCGTTCTATCGTCCAGAACTGCCCTTCCCCGTCATGTTGGAGGCTGCCGCCCAGCTGGATCGTGAATGGCATCGCATTCCGCGGCCGTTGAATTGGCTACTGCAGAACTCCATTCATGTTCCCGTGCATCGCAAGTGGATCCCCGAAGGCATGGCATGAGCGATAACCTGGGTCCCTCACAACCTCTCTTACCTTAATACGGCTGTTCAGACATTTTCGACTTTCGGGGATCTGTTTAGTCCCTTGTATATTACTGTCGCATGGCGCCGACTTGAGCTGCGCTGCATATACTCCTTTCAATTCTTTTTGGCGCATTGCCCGGCATAATTGGCACACTATCTTCTCACCAGCTGCCCAACCTTGGTCGATCCATCTTGTTCCGAGTTCTATATCTCAGCCTTCATTTATGCATGTCTCTCCGCTAGCTATAGATATCTGTGTAAACTACATGCCCTGTATATAATTTAATATACATATGCCCTAATTCTGGGGGTATAAAATGTATTTCCATGAATTTGGTTTGATTGTGCTCCCCTCAAGAGAATCTAGTCGTCAAGTCATCTGATCTATTGTCATAATTGCGTATATCTATAAGAAATGGAGCGTTATCCACTGCCGTTTCCATGAAGCAACGCCGGCGGCGGAGGAGCAGGCGCCGCACCGCTCATTTCCGGCGCGGTCGGACCATAAGCATCGAATTCCATCCTCAACGACCCCACGCCTTCTTTCAAGTATAGCACCAGTCGGTAGGCCGAGTTACCGTTCAGGTAGTAGCGGTGCAGCTGCTTGCTGCGCAGGAAGCCGAGTCGTTCGTAGAGCTTGATGGCGGCCGTGTTGGTGATTTCGGTTTCGAGGGCAATCTGTCGGATATTTCATGTCAGTCGATTCATCCATTGACCATCTGCCTCCTCTGCTTAAATCCGCCGTAAAGAGGAAAGAAACATCAACGAGGCAGGAGCCTGAGTGAGGGGGTGAGGGGTGAAGGGGGGGACAGAAGCGAACAAGGCCCGCCCGCCGTGCAACACCCGTACAACATATGATCCCCCCCCAGCCCCGAGAACGCACCTCATGCGCATCCCGTTCAATCATTGCATCAATAGCCATGCGCACCAATTTCGTCGCAATGCCCCGTCCGCGGAATTCCTCGCGCACCGCCAACATGGCAATATACCCCCTCAAGGGCCCGCCGCGGTGCGGCTCCAGCTTGGACACCACGACGCCGACCATGGGGTCCTCGGGCCGCGAGTCGTCCATGGCCATAAAGCAGAGTTCGCCCCATTGGTAGAGGAAGTAGCGATAGACGTAGATGCTGTACGGCTCGGAAAGGTCCTTAGAGATGAGCTGGCGCATGGCGGCGACGTATTCATCCTCGCGGGATCCGTCGTAGCGGGCGTAGCGGAGGTCGGAGGAAGGAGCCGGAGGAGGGGCTGTTACGTCTGCTGCTAGGGCAGCGGCGGGGGCGGCGGGGAGGTTATCATCATGGCGGTTCATGCCGGGGGCATTCGAAGAGGAGTACAAAATTAAGAATATAGAGTTGGGGTATGGATGTCGATGGGATTGTTGGGGCTGATAGTCGGGGAACGTTTGGAGAAGGAAGAGAGAAGGAAAGGAAAGGAAAGGCAGATTTTCATGACGTCCGTCGACATGTGATTCCGGTCGCTCTCTTTTTCCCTCGCGCTTTTCCTTCGTCCTTTTTCCTTTTCTTTTCCTTTCTTTTCTATTCATCTGTCTCTGTCTGTCGTCGATTTCTTATTGTCTCTGTGTGTCAATTAATTGATTCCGACCATTCCACCCTCCTCCCCCCCCCCCCTTCCTCTTTCCTCTTCTTTGCCTCTCATGCTCCGCCGTCGTTTGGCCAAGGATGATAAGGACGACGCCCCGTCGGAGCCCAATGATGCTCAGCCAGCCTCCTCGCCCTCGTCCAGGCCTCCTCCACCCGAGAAATTCGGCTCCTTTGTCACGAAACCGCGCAGTAAGCGTCGCAATGGTCTGATCTTCGCGTTGGGCGGCCTCTTCGGCATTTTGGTGGCCGTCCTCTTCGCCAACCAACAGGACGTCATCAGTTTGGAGTCGCTGATGGACTTGAACTTGGACTCGTTGATGGATGTGATTCCGCAGGGCATTGTTAGGGATGCGAGGGAGTTTTCGGTATGCCCGACCTCATTGATGGCTTATCGGGCGCTATACTACTGGATAAATTGACTAACGGCTTTCGTCTCCCTCTTGTTCCCCCCACTAGCAGCATGAACGCGACACGGTCAATTATGACTCCTTCTCTGTCGGACTTCATCTTCAATCGCAAGGGTTCGAGGCCAAACATCCTGTTGTTATGATCCCCGGGGTGATCTCCACCGGACTCGAGAGTTGGGGAACGGGCACGCAGTCCCGGCAGTACTTCCGCCGTCGGCTTTGGGGCAGTTGGAGCATGATGCGCGCCCTAGTTCTGGATAAAGCGGAGTGGAAGAACCATGTCATGCTAGATAAGAAGACGGGGATGGATCCGCCGGGAATTAAGCTCCGGGCCGCACAGGGGTTTGATGCGACCGATTTCTTCATTACTGGTTACTGGATCTGGAACAAGATTCTCGAGAACCTGGCGACGATAGGATATGACCCGACCAACGCCTTTACGGCGGCGTACGACTGGCGACTAGCGTACCAGCATCTGGAAATCCGCGACCAGTACTTCAGTCGGCTCAAGTCCTACGTGGAGACCGCCGTTCAGGTGCGTGGCGAGAAGGTGACCCTGGCTTCGCACAGTATGGGTTCGCAGGTGGTGCTATACTTCTTCAAGTGGGTTGAGAGTGACGATCATGGCAAGGGAGGGAAAGACTGGGTGAACAACCACATCGCCTCTTGGATCAATGTCAGTGGCTGCATGCTGGGCGCCGTCAAGGGGCTCACGGCCGTCCTATCGGGAGAGATGCGCGACACGGCCCAGCTGAACGCATTTGCCGTGTATGGACTAGAGAAGTTCCTGTCTAAGGAAGAACGCGCGGAGATCTTCCGCGCCATGCCGGGCATCTCGAGCATGTTGCCCAAGGGCGGCGAAGCGGTCTGGGGCAATTCCACCTGGGCCCCGGATGATCAGCCGGGCCAGTCGATGTCGTTCGGCACCCTGTTGAACTTCCGCGAGACCAACTCCTCCCTCACGGCGAAAAACCTGACCACCCCGGAGAGTCTGTCGTATCTGCTGGATCAGAGCGATGACTGGTACCGCGACCAGGTGCTCAACAGCTACTCGCATGGCGTCGCGCACAGCACTAAGGAAGTCGAGGCCAACGAGAAGGATCCTCGTACCTGGTTGAACCCCCTCGAGGCCCGACTGCCGCGGGCCCCGGACATGAAGATCTACTGTCTGTATGGCGTCGGCAAACCCACCGAACGCAGCTACTTCTACCAGGAGGAACGCGACCCCCTGGTCAACCTGAACGTCAGTATCGACACCACGGTCACCAACAACGACGGTGTCGACCACGGCGTTGTCATGGGTGAAGGTGACGGGACCGTCAATCTACTGAGTACGGGCTACATGTGCGCCAAGGGCTGGCATATCAAGCGGTATAATCCCGCGGGTGCCAAGATCAAGGTATATGAGATGCCTCATGAGCCAGATCGATTCTCACCCCGCGGTGGTCCCAACACAGGTAACTCCCCCTGGTGACGTCTTGATACATTTGACCCACGATACTAACATATCACAAGGTGACCACGTCGACATCCTCGGCCGCGCCTCTCTCAACGACCTCATCCTCCGCATCGCCAGCGGCCACGGCGACGAAATCGAAGAGACCTTCGTTTCGAAAATCAAAGAATACGCCGATCGAGTCAAGATTTACGAAGAATAAAAACAATACCACCTCCTTATTTACGTTTATTACTATCTGTCACGAGTTCTCTTTTCATCTCATTTTGTTCATGTGGATGTTTGATAGATTACCTTAATTATATGTCCCTTTTCTTTGCCCTCTATCTTCTTATCTCCTGCTACAACCCTCTTACCGTTGGTTGCTACATTCCCTGACTTGACTTGATGGAATCTACTGTATGAATCGCTTGCTTATGTACGGCATAGGAATGGTGTTCAGGGTCCAGTGGATTGATTGATATAACAGGCCCATATCGAAATCTACTACCTAATTTTTGAGTGTTCGTGTCTCCTACAAACCAGTATCTGGTGGTTTGTCTTACACCATCCAGAAAGATAAAAGAATAAGAAAAATGTGGCGCGGCCTCCTGTTTGCAAACCAGCAGGCTAAAAACTGAAAAGGCAAAAAAGAAGAGGTCGTACCCGGGATCGAACCGGGATTACCGGAATCAGAATCCGATGTGCTAACCATTACACTATACAACCTTGGTTGTTGAGAGAGTGAGCAGAATTCAACACTATAGATCTAGGAGATTGAATATGCTGGGTAATGCTTGTGTTCCGGAATTGTTGAACACTCCATACCAGACAATAATACACAACTCTAGAGAGCTTCGTTGTTTATAGATAGTTATAGAAAGATCTTAGAGGATTGAATTGCATGTTAAGGACAGAAGCTGAATTCTCGATGGAATAGATTATCTTTCTTATCTTGAAAGCAAACCGTTGCTCTACTTTCGGCATCCCATGGAGTTACTTACTGCCTCAGGCTTCTTTTTCTGTATAGAATGGACGTTCGCGCACAACACACCCACGGAGAAATGCGGAGAAGGACTGAGTAATCTACTCCAGAAGTAGAGAGAGCAAAATTGTGCAGTACAGCATAATCAACTGCCAGGTGTGATATTTTAACTAATTGTAGACATCATTCGTCCGCGTAGCTTATAACTAGCAAGACATGTCCCCGTCAGTAGGTACAGAGTACCTTTGGATTATATACATGCTTTATCTGATGCTTTCTCAGATATCGCAAAGCGCAAATACTCCGTACATCAATCTATGGCATTCAACCACAAAAACAACAATCAAATTCTATCTCAAAACAACAGACGGTGGCAGATGGCAGAATCGTACAAAAAATGAAGGTCATACCCGGGATCGAACCGGGATTGCCGGAAATCAATTTCAAAATCCGAAGTGCTAACCATTACACTATATAACCTCGTTGAGGTCGCAGGCCAGGAAATTTTTAACACTATAGACTTGTATCAGTATTGGTCTGTGTATTAAAACATTGTTCACGCTGCTACTCCGTACCGAGCAGAGCAAAAAGAGAGAGGTCGTACCCGGGATCGAACCGGGATTACCGGAATCAGAATCCGATGTGCTAACCATTACACTATACAACCGTGGGCTGTTGAGGAATGCGTTAAATTTTTGATACTATGAGTCTGGGTGCTCAGAGAGTCGTGGGAAGTGGTTGTTATCGCTGGTGTTTTGGGGTATAGTTCGTTAGATGTTGAGATGTGAAGGGTATATAGGAGTGTTCCCTATTGTTATACATGAAAATGGCGCGTATAGTATATATTCTTGGTCTTTTCTTGAATGGTCTGTTGTGGATTGTATTGGCTTCATTGTTTTGCCATTGGTACCTAGTTGTGACAGGGATATCTTTAGTTATCTTGTTGGGGCGAACTCTTTCTTTTCTCTGTGTCTCTGGGTCTTTTTACTTGAGCTCGCAACACGGGCAAGAGCCTGATAGGCAAGTGCAATGTCTCGTTTATGCCGCTAGGGTATCGGGATAGCTGAATCTATAAGTCAGCCAGTTAGGATCTGTGATACCGATAACATGCACGAAATGATAGATTAACACGGGTATACGACACCTATCTCAGCAACGGAAGTTCTACTTTCTTACTGTATTTCCACCTAGTGTCTGGGTTCTGTTTCCTTTCGAGTGTTGCCGCTTCAGGGAAACCAGGGTTGTGCAGAAGGGTCGAGGTCGGTCACTTAGCACACTTTCATCAAAGTCCTCCGATGGAGATTGAGACCCTAGATAGACTTAATATGCGGTGCTCGCGAGCCATATCCAACATTGGTCCCGGTCAATCGGAACTAGGTGACGGTGCGAAATTCCCACTGCTGCGAGGGACCTTTTCCTGGTCATTTAGTTCGTGCAGGTCAGACCCGGATACTTAATGAGGAGACATTACTCTGCAGACTGGAAGTATCCTGATCGCAGGTCTATAGAGGGTATTCCTGTCTGGACAGAATCTGTAGAATGCCTGCCACTATCTTAGGGCTCCGTATATCTGCGAGCCAATCAGTAAACCAAACACTCAGGTGCTAGAATCATGGGGACAATGGGGCACCGAGGCTTTCGAGCAATTAATAGCGTATATCGAATGGGCATTCGCTAGAGAAGCAGAGTGCAATTTGTCGCCGAGGAAGCTGATTTGTCCGTCTGGAGGCCCGATCTTCGCAGAATAGAGTCGGCGCAAAGGTGCCAACAACATTCCACGGGTTTCTCGGAATTTGAATAGTAAGATCTCAATATACCCTCCTAGGGCCACGAGATGACCCAGACAACCAATATGCCAGACATCGCTTCTGACCGTATCTGGAATAGACCGTTTCAGCAGACCCTACCTACCGCACCACTCATACGAGTCAACACGCAATCCAAATGATAAAAGAGCAGTAGTAACTACTCAGAATCAAGAGCAGGGTGTGTCAGCCGTCGTAATGTCGTACACTAAGTAAGCCATACGATGCTTGGTTGAAGCAGAACCGCAAGGATCCTGACCCACTTGGTGTACGCGAGGGAATACGACACCGATACGCACCTTCTTGGCGGCATACACTCCGAAGTACAGATATGAAGGGTTCTAGATCTGTTCAATTCGATGCGGGTTAGACTATCGTATTTCCTGCGTATAGAATGTTCGTTCTTTGTTCTCCTGGTTGGATGGTCGCGGTGATGTTGGTGGTATAAGAATGTCTGGCTTCCTCCCTGTCAGCTTCTTTGGATTATCGTTTTGACTATATTTGACTTTTTTGATACCCTTTTCTTTCTCTTTCTATTAATAATTAGTTCTCTCTCACTCTTTTCTTTTACCACAAGAATTATTTCCTAATCGCTGCAAGATGGTTTCTTCAACTGTTGTCTTGAAGGAAGACCCCGACGTCGCCCTGATGAAGGCGATGCATGGCAAATCAGCCGAAGAGAAAAACGCCTTCTTCGCCATGCTCAAGAAGAACAATTCAGCCCACCGCGAGATCACAAACGAGTACGTGCGTCGATGGAAGGAGGAGAAGGGCATCGATGCCACTACCGATGAGGCCCGAAAAGAGCGAACGACCGAGTACATGGGCGTGGTCAACAAGTGAGTTTCACACCCCCTCCCGGGAAGCCATGTCATCGTTGCAGACTTGCTGATCGTTGGATGCACGGTAGCTATTATGATCTAGTCACGGACTTTTATGAAGAAGCGTGGGCCCAGTCGTTTCATTTCTGTCGGTTCAGTATTGGCGAGCCATTCCTCCAAGCGCTGGCACGACATGAGCATTACCTTGCGTATAAACTAGGCATTAATGGGGGCATGGAGGTGTTGGATGTGGGCTGTGGCGTGGGAGGCCCTGCGCGTGAGATCGCTCGGTTCACAGGGTGTCAGGTTGTAGGTGTCAACAATAATGCATATCAGATTGCTCGTGCCACGAAGTATGCAGAGAAAGCTGGCCTGGATAATCAGGTTTCTTTCTTCAAGGGAGACTTCATGGTAAGCGCCCACTCCGACCATCTAAATTCATCACGACTACTCTAGCTGACGAGACGATACAGCATCTCGAATTCCCGCCCAATACCTTCGACGTTGTATATGCCATCGAGGCCACCGTGCATGCTCCGAGTCTGCAGAAAGTATACGAACAGATCTTTCGAGTCCTCAAGCCAGGCGGCCGGTTTGGAGTATATGAATGGGTCATGACAGACAAGTTCGACGAGTCGAACCCCGAACATCGAGCCATTCGGCTGGGAATTGAGCGTGGAAACGGAATCGTGAACATGCGAACGCGAGCCGAAGCAGTCGAGGCCATCCAGGCGGCCGGGTTTGTTCTGGAGTATGAAGACGACCTGGCTGAGCGGCCGGATCCCATTCCCTGGTACTATCCCATTGCAGGCGAGCTGAAGTATACGAGAAGCTTGTGGGATATGCTCACGGTTCTGCGCATGACGAAGGTTGGACGAGCTGCGATGGGTCAGCTGTTGTGGGCGATGGAAATGATGCGGCTTGCGCCTGCTGGGACGTCGGAGACTGCACAGGAGCTGGCTGATGGCGCTGATAACCTCGTGAAAGGGGGACAATTGGGCTTGTTTACTCCGATGTACTTGGTAATTGGAAAGAAGCCTGAGGTATAGGACCACTGATGTATAATATTGTATAGTAATAAAAAGTTTAATGCAGCGATTTTGTTCCACTATCAACCCCAGTGATATTTCAAGGACAAGGAATGTACAGAGTAGACTTGACAAAAACCCGAGAGAGGAGGACTGGAAAATGCAAATAATACGCTTAGGCTTATAATGTCATAATCTACTTGCGTTTTCAACAACCCAAGGTTGTATAGTGTAATGGTTAGCACATCGGATTCTGATTCCGGTAATCCCGGTTCGATCCCGGGTACGACCTCTCCTTTTTTGCTTTTTGTTTTTTTCTTCCTGGTCTGAGGTAGCCTCAGATTCGTCGTCCTTGATTTGGTTTTTGCTTTTGTCAATTGAGTGTGGACTCGGTTGTTGTCTTTCCCTGCACGCCTGGTCTCGGTCCAAACATGAGATGAGCACACTTCATCCCAATGCCTCCTCATCACTTTTTGCTCTTGTTATTACATATAGAGATCACGCCTGAGCTAGGTTCAGGATGTGAAATGTATAATCAGCCAAGGTGATGGTTCAGAAGGTTTTCATTTCGTGAAAGTTTTGTGTTTGATAGACACCGTGGCGATCCAAGATGACCATGTATAGACACCCAGAAAGAAATTTACCTGGACAGTTAAAAACATCACTGTATTTCTTGGTCTATTTATCTATAGAGGTTGACGCAGAAAAACAAGGGCATCTTCTACAAGAGGGGTCAACAAATCATAGAGAATTGAATAACTAACACCCTGGCCTATCACCCATTACCCAAAGCTGGCGACTGCAAGGACATCCAGACTTTTGGAATAGGCAACTTTCTTACAACAGTTGAGGTTGGCAAGAGTGAATTAATAGAGGCCTCAATCCCATACCGGTTGTCCCAGCACTTCGCCAGGAATATATACCCAACAACGGATCTATATGGAAATAAATGGACTGGTTTCCTTTTGTCTGTCTTATTCTAGCTATTTTAACCTAGCCACGAAAGATCCTTCTCCCCCAGGTAGGATAGACAACTCGCCCTTCACATCCAACACAAATAGCAGGTCCTAGCGGGTTGAGGGCTCATCCTTACCCTTTGTTAACTGCCCTTCCCCCGAGTCGGCGAGGAGTATCCTTGCATGCTTTGATTGGTGGAACAGGTGCGCGCCAGCCACCGAAGCAATGGTCCGACAGATGAGATGAGATGTGAAATACTATCATGATACCATCTGCCCTAGTTCTCATCAATCATCACAGTATTACCCCCGCCTCCATTTCTACTCGATCCCACAACCAAGCCCTTCAATATGAGGATGGAATATGACGACGCCGCCTGGGAAGGTAGGGAACAGGTTTTCGACGACGTCAAGAAAAGGATCACCAGCCATGATGTGCTTCTCGTAGTCATCCGCTTCATGGCAAGCCACAGGGACTGGGTCCGACCAATTGATCGTGCCCGAATTGAAGGCCTGGGCGCATTCAGCCTCTGTTCCAGGATGGTCTTCGAGGACGGGTTCTCCCTCCTCCGTTTTCCATGTCCGGGTAGAGTGATGTTTGCAGAGGAAAAGGTCCGAAATGAGGCTACAGTCATGGTTTTCCTCAAGGAAAGCACGCGCATCCCCGTTCCAGATATCATTCATCATGGCATGCGAGATGAGTGTCCGGCGGGACTAGGCCCGTTTATTCTTATGGAGTATGTGGAGCATGCATCGAATTTGGCAACGCAGATACGAGCCCCGGGATATGAGAAGGGCGTTCGCCCGGTTCTGGACCCGAACATTGACGAAGAGAAGCTCGAGTTTTTCTATGGTCAAGTAGCTGATATTCTGCTGGAGCTTTCTAAGCCGTCTTTTGATAAGATCGGCTCGCTGGCCAGACATGCAGATGCGAGGGGCTGAAATATCCCCTACCGGCCGTTGACCATGAATATGAATGAGCTGGTTCAGCTGAAGAATTTTCCTGCGATGATGCTACTACAGGCGCCTTTTGCAACTGCTTCGTCATATTACCAGAGCTTGGCCGAGACCCAGTTCATGCATTTAATAACGCAGCGAAACGACGCCGTTGACTCGGAAGAGGACTGTCGCGCCAAGTATATTTCCAGAAAGCTCTTTTGCAAACTGGCAGGAGAATCACGTCTTCGCAACAATACCATGCCCGATGATGTTTCATCCAAGCTCTTCTGCGATGACCTGCGTCCAACCAACATTCTTCTCAACGCGGACATAAAAATCGTCGCGGTCATTGATTGGGAATTCACATATACTGCCCCTGCAGAGTTCGCGTGAACCCCACCGTGGTGGTTACTGTTGGAAATGCCGGAAGAATGGCCACGGAGAATCTCGGACTGGATAGAAGCCTACGGGCCACGCCTTGAGACTTTTCTTCGGGTGCTTCAATGTCGAGAGGACGCTGCTTCGGCCAATGGAGAGTTGGTAGAAGGACAACGGATTTCCGAGTAAATGCGAGCAAGCTGGGAGCATGGGGATTTCTGGGTTAATTATGGTGCCTGGAAGAGTTGGGCCTTTGATCATGTATGGCCAATGATAGCTGGAATATTATTCGGGGGTGTTACCTCGTTGCATAGCGAGGAGAGGTTGGAGTTACTTAGGGATGAAGACAGGGAGACAATGGGGGCGTTTCTCCAGAAGAAATTAGAAGATCGCAAGGAGCGGAAGCTGGACGATTGGGATGTATAGGCGGCTTAGATGCCTGAGGTGCAAACCTACCTAGAAATAGTACTGAGATTTAACCCCATCTCCAATAATGTGACCATCCCTCACTAGGCATCTCCCACGAAGACTGAGCAACAAGTTCAACCCCTTCCCTCCCAACCTGAGATGCTTTCATTTACATCCTACAACCAATCTCGAGAAACCTGGACGATAGTGCAGCCCCCACACTAATAGAAATTATATCTTCCCGAGTCGAAAGAAAAACCAAAAAATCTATTTCCCCGGAGCAAAAGGCACAACCCATAAAGTATGATCATAGACATAACCGTAAAGACGCCCACAGTATACCAGCAAGAACTCCAACCAGGTCAATTCCTAGCTCAAGACGCAAACCCGCTGACTTCTACAATGACAATAGATCCAGACACGCACATCCACATCACTAAGTGAAATTCCTCCCACAAAACACTAAACAGCAACACCACAGACTACCCAACCAGTCCCACAAAGAGTCCTTTTGAGTAAAAAAGGAGCTCGGGCTCTTATATTCAAAATAATGTCGACTTTTTCGACAACCAAGGTTGTATAGTGTAATGGTTAGCACATCGGATTCTGATTCCGGTAATCCCGGTTCGATCCCGGGTACGACCTCTCTTTTTTTGCTTTTTTGTCTATCTTCAATAGTCCTATTGATGTGGCAATGTTGTTGGGTAATGGTTGAGAAAGGCGTGTGGTGTGTATGAATAGTTGTGGTTGGTTGTTTAGTGTTCAAAGTCAAAACTTAACCTCAACCAGGTTGTTAGGTACAGACCATCTACACAGTAGATTAATATAGCAATTATTCATAGATTAAATAATCATGTCAGATAAGTTAATTGAAAACTTCCAGACCAAGAAAATATAGACACAGAATAGAAACAATAATGTACAAAGGTTCCTTGTTCATAAATCATAAATACTACCGGTATGATTGGACTTTAACAATACCGCTATGGATAAACACCATCCAACACCCCCCTTCCACATTCCTCAACACACGACCCGTAGAGATAATTAGGAAGAAGAAAGCGGTAGCCGGTGGACTGAAGTTAGATCACTGGTGGATCCAAACTCTAGGGAACTGAAGAGACAGTGGTCGTCAAAGGTGTTGGAGCGTGCGATAGGCTTTCTTGATGTAGGGGTCCCAAAGGTAGAAAAAGAATGCTTTGCGTCAAGGATCTTCGGTTCTCAGTAGTCCCTCCAGCTTTTCTTGTCGCTGCGATTGCTGTTCACTCATCGCAGCTTTGTTCATCCATGTCCTCCTCTTATAGAAATAGATCAAGTGTGTTCCCCAACGGACCCGCTGCCATGAATCAGGACAGGTCCGCCATTCCCTTCTTTTTCTATATGCCAATGCAATGGTCATTAAACAAGCGTCATTCCCTTCTAAAGCACAGCGAGTGAAGTGCATAAAAAAAGGCGCCCCTGTACTTCTCCCCTTGTATCCTCCAGGCGCCGAAAAAAAGTTGTGAGCGATTGACACGAATGGTAAAAAAAAAAAAGTGGTGTAATAATATGTACCCGACCGAGCGGAATGAGAAAAAATATAAATGCTCGGCCAGTCGTTGAAAGCGAAAGACATTATTCGGAATTGGACAAAAACAAGTCCATTCTGGGTGACCCAGAGAAGAAGTGTACAAGCGAATGTCTCCAACAAGGAACCTGTGCAACTCAAGACATTAAGGAAGCCGAGCGTTCGGTATTAAGATTATTGACGGAGCTTCGAGAGTTGGGCGTAAAGAACCGCTGCATTGCAGCCCAACCGGTGTCACAAAACGTATGCATGTACAATGAAATAAAAATCGAGGGGCGGTTAAAAAAAATCCAACGGCGTATCCAGGCGACTGAGTCCAAAAACCGCAGAGGTGCCAATCCATTAAGCCGGATAATGCCGGGAGGAAGAAGGGGAAAAAAGGCGTATTAAAGATATATGTGTCGAAATCTGCTCGATGCAATAAGAAACCCAGCATGTCGTTAAATGTGTCAACGCCGTTTCATAGATAGATGCAAATAAACAAGCGGGTGCGGTATATGCAAATCACGGGCTGAAGAGGTGTCTTCCGGATTCGATATCAGAAGCAGGCGAGGCTAGAGTCTCGCCTTCCCAAGTATAATGGTCGTCGATGGGGCTCAAGGAGCCGGACGAGATGGACGAGGAAGAGCCGACCGTCCACTCATCGCTGTCGAGGTTGTATTCGCCATCGGCCAGGTCATATCCGTACTCCCGGGTATAGTCGCCGTATTCAACGTAGTCGTAATCCCAACGGAACATCTTGTCGCTCTGAACGCGGGGAAGGAATCGAGTCTTGGCGAAATAGAAAGCGACGGTGGCGATGAGACCACCGGCGACCAGGTCAACCGCGTAGTGGTGAGAAAGGTACATCGTAGCCCACCACATCCAGAGAGTGTAGATCACGAAAAGAGGCTTCAGTCGCGGGAAAACATGGCTCATGAACAAGGCAGCCAGCGTCGAATCGGCAGCGTGCAGAGACGGGAACGCGCCAAACACGACGGGCGACTGCTTGAAACCCGAGGTGTACAGGTCGATGCCGAAGAGCTTGTCAATCCGGGCAAGACCCGCCGGGTTACCCTGCATGGAGTAATCGGCAGGAGCCAAGCCGTAAAGATTCTCATACCACGGGGGTGAGCAAGGGAAGGCCAGTTGAATCGTGACAGCAAGCATGCTGATGTACCCGAAAGTCCGCGCGAAAAGAGGTGTGGTTCCGGGAGGTCCGAAGACGAACATGATGAGCGAGCAGACAAAGGGAGCACCGTAGTGGCAGATCCCATAGGGAAGCCACGCCAACACGTCTAACACGACGTTCTGGTGGGCGGATAGAATATTACTGATGTTGGCACCATACAGAATATTCTCCAAGGCCGGAAGCACGCGGACCCAGATTGCAGGGCGCCAATCGCTGGGAATGAACCTTCGGAATGATAGTCAGCATCCATTTCCTCGAACTAAATCATGGTCGGGCGTATCAGGGACCGGGGTTACTCACTGGCAAGCGTAGAAAAACAGGAGCCAGCCGGCAATCGGCAGAAAGGGCAGGAAGAATTGGCGAGTGATGGGGAGCAGGAGCGAGATCAGGAGCATGGTAAAGGCGGCCGTTTTCGCCAGAGGCCCCGGCGCTTCCATGACCGTCAACGCGAAGATTCCAACAACCAACAACAGCAAATATTGGAAGTCGTAGGGGGTCCACCGATGGCTTTGTAGCGACCTGAGCGTGTCGACGGGTGAGAAGGAGGTCTGCAGAGAGGATATCGACGAGGTGGGCGAGATTCTACTCCGCAACTTGGACCGAATCTTCCGTCGCATGCGATGCGGCACCAGGAGCTGAATGGAGCGCCATGGGACCTGGATCTGAAGCTTGCCGAACTGGTTTTGCGTCCGATCCTTCCAGGAAGGAAGGGTGGTGTTCATCTTTGCGGCAAATCTGACAGGAATCCTCCTTGTATAACCCTCGAGTGTTGATCTTCTCTAGCACCGACGCGGAAGAGAAGATTGGGAATGGAAGTTGAAAGGGTCGAACGACGGCGGGCAAAGTTTCCCCCCAGGCGGAGTTGACGGAAAGGGGGGTGCTGAATCTAGGCGTCAACGTGACACTCTTTGTAAGGAGGTCGTCCACGAACGTTTCGATTGCTGGCAGGTACACGCCAACGAAAGCCTCGTCTGGCGGAGATATAATAAACAAGGACCGATGGGTTATAGTTGGAAGCGCAAGTCCCGGTCTCCAGCGGCCAAACGAGGATTGTACTTGAGGGGGGTCACGTTGCAAGGGCCTCTCTGACGCAAGGCGGCGGACAGTAAGGAGACGAAAGAACCAGGAACGAGGGGGCGCAACTGGCCACGAGAGCCGGAGGAACAGCGGAGAGGAAGGGAAAGCTGGAGGGCGAAGGAGGAGGAGGAGGTGAAGAAATTAGGAATGGGGACAAGATAGGAAGAGAGAGATTAAAAGAAGAGGAGCAGAGTGACGAGGAATTTTGCAGGCGCCGGGCTGGAAGCGCCAGGTGAAGAGCGACGGGGCGACGGACAACGACGGGTACGGCTGACGAGTGGCCGTACGCCGTACGTCGTGAGTACTCGTATTACCGGTTTGGCTCGGTCCCGGTCGGTATCGTGTCGTCACGACTAACCTGATCGGGGCGGTCCCGGCGCTGCCACTAGTGCGCTTTGGGCAATCCAGGATTGGCCCTGCGCTCCTTTGGGCTTAGTCAAGCCGAGGCTGCGTGCCTGAACGGGGTGGATTATGGGCAGATTTTTCCTTTTTTTCTTTTTTCGCGCAGGGCGATGGATCACGGATGCTACAGAGTATTTGGGAATATACTACAGTATAGTGGACGATGGACGGTGGACGGCTCGGGAGTTGGCCTGAGGCAACCCTCCGAGCGGAGAAAGAAAATACTAGTTAACTAAGAGAGAGAAAATTTTCTGAAGGGCCTTGGGACCTCAACGCCCCATAAGGCATAAATCAGGTTATTGTGAAATCCACGGATGCAGCGGAAGCATCGGAGGAATCGGAGGTAATCGGTGCCGAGCAACATGAAAATGTGAAAATGTGACAACAGTG